ATATCAACAAATATGTCACATGAACAAATCTCCTCAGAGATAAACCAAAGCAAAAACAGTTACAAGAAAAATAAAACAAAGTTAAGTTATCAAACCAATTTTCCCGGAAGAACTGGTAAAAAATTCCGTTGAAAGGTTATCGTGCCTGAATGAGCGTCCACAGGAACCGGAAGTGTGGACCGTTGGCGGTGGTGATCCCGTAATTGCGATCACGACAAGGTCGAAAGGATCGTATAGAGAAAAGCAGAACGAACGAATGGAGGATTTATCGCATCTCGTTCGTCGATCTCTCTTCGTGTCCGTTGGGGGCCCCTCACCTTTAACTCTTTGAATTTATACGAACAGGCCACCGAAAACTTGCTTTTCGACTGGTCGCCCTCATCGTGTCCCCCTCTTTCCATCCCGGTAGCACCGGTCCTACTCTCCTGCAAACACCACGGTACTTCGTCGTTGTGTCAAGTTCAATGCTACCGTTTTTCGTATCTGGCTTCCTTCTTGTACAGTCAACGGCAAATCTGATGTCCCTAGGGAAGATGGCGAGGTGCAGGAATATCACTTTCACTTGGTGGGATTTTGGGAGTTTTGTGGATTGAGATGGTTGAGGATTTAGGGATTTGGGATTTGGGATTTGGGATTTGGGATTTGGGATTTGGGATTTGGGATTTGGGATTTGGGATTTGGGATTTGGGATTTGGGATTTGGGATTTGGGATTTGGGATTTGGGATTTGGGATTTGGGATTTGGGATTTGGGATTTGGGATTTGGGATTTGGGATTTGGGATTTGGGATTTGGGATTTGGGATTTGGGATTTGGGATTTGGGATTTGGGATTTGGGATTTGGGATTTGGGATTTGGGATTTGGGATTTGGGATTTGGGATTTGGGATTTGGGATTTGGGATTTGGGATTTGGGATTTGGGATTTGTCTTATGAAGTTAATGGGGACTCTAGATTTCCTAGGGGAAATATTAGTAATTGTAGAAGGTGGAGAAATATCACTTTCACTTGGTGGGATTTTGGGAGTTTTGTGGATTGAGATGGTTGAGGATTTAGGGATTTGGGATTTGGGATTTGGGATTTGGGATTTGGCTTATGAAGTTAATGGGGACTCTAGATTTCCTAGGGGAAATATTAGTAATTGTAGAAGGTGGAGAAATATCACTTTCACTTGGTGGGATTTTGGGAGTTTTGTGGATTGAGATGATTGAGGATTTAGGGACTTGGGACTTGGAGTTGGAGTTGGTCTTGTGAAGTTAATGGAGACTCTAGATTTCTTAGGGGAAATATTAGTAATTGGGCAAAGTGGAGAAATATTGCTTTCACTTGATGGGATTTGGGAGTTTTGTGGATTGTTGGTGTTTGAGGATTTGGAGACTTGGGATTTGAGGGTTTTGTGAAGTTAATGGGGACTCTAGGTTTCTTAGGAGAAATATTACTTTCACTCGACCAAATTTAGGTAGTTTTGTGCATTAGGATTTGGATTTACTAGATTCTTGATATTTGAAAATTTAGAAATTTGGGACGAGGGGGTTAGAGAATGGATTGGGGTCCCAGAAACTTGAAGATTTGACAATTCTTGGAGTTGGGAGTTTAGGTACTAGGGTATTTGGAAATTTGGAAGCTTGGAATATTGTGGATTTGGGAATTTATGAAGGTGGAAATTTGGGAGTAGGGGATTAGAGAGTGAATTGAGGTCTCTCTATTTGAAGTCTCAGGAACTTGGAGATTTGACAATTTCTGAAGTTGGGGATTTAGGTATTGAAGTATATCGAAATTTGGAAGCTTGGAATATTATGGGTTTGGAAATTTATTAAGGTGGAAATTTAAATATTAGAAAATTGAGAAATCTAGCAACCTTTCAGTTTGAAAATTTAGAAATTTGGAAATGTTTACAAGTTTGCAAATTTTAGTATCAAGACATTGAAATTAGGAAATTTGTCACTTTGAAAAATTGTGACTAAATTTCTAGATCTACTAACTTACGACTTAAGTTACTTAAGAGAAACCATGAACACAGAAATTAGAAAATTCTGTTCAATATAAAAATTTCTCTCAAAAGCAAAGAACTAAATTTTCATTTGTGACGAAACATTGTACAAATAAATAATATGAGTAACAATTATTAAAAATGATTAAAAGTACCAGTAAATATGAGATGTTTAATACTGGTTGATTAATTAAAAGAATGTATCATAATTAATTTCTAAGAGGAGCTAATATTCTGACATATGTACCGACATCCCAATTCCACTGATGCAGTTTTTTGCTGACAATGAGCGATTATTGCTGCATGTGGTCTACAGTTATCACGTTGAAACGCTATACCACATCCTCTCACCAGGTTTTCGTCTGGTTTAGACGAAACGTATATACAGACGGATGATTTATTTTATTTAGCAACGTTAAACTTCGTCTTGTTGATTGAATTCCTGTCTTTCATATATCTTTGCAAAAATTATTAAGATTAAATCTTGAGATCCTAATTTAATTAATGCAAGATAATCATTTTTCTTATAAAATCATTTATTATTCATTTATTTATGAAACTTAACTTTTTTTTTTCATAAATTCTGTCAATTTTTATTTCATTTACGTAAGGTAACAATTTTTCTTATAAAATCTTCCATCGTTTGTTTTTTTATAAAATCTTTCCATTTTAATTTATTTAATGCAACAAAATATTTCCTATAAAATTTTTCAGTCTAATTTAATTTATATATATTATTTATCTTATATATCTATATAATTTATACAATCGTCTTCTAATTTAATTTACTTTGTTTTTCTTACTCAAACACTTATTTATTTGAATTCAAACAGAACACCCTGTATACATCACATACGAACACACATGTATTCAGAATATCGTTCCCCAAATAATTAAAAGAATTGCAAAGATATTTATAACGAATATTCGTCGTCTCCTCGATAAAATATTTGAACAGCGTACCTTTTGTTGCAAAATAAAATCCCGTTAAGTCCATGGAGGAAGAAGAAAGATGAAAGAAGAATTGAAGCGGAAATTCCGAGACAACGCGGCGTCACAACGAAATTTTATATTCATTCCACGATCGACACACTCACCTTTGGAAACATTCTGCACCGTCAGCTCTTTCGTTATCGAAAAGAATGCACGAATCATAACATGTTGAAAGGTCGACGAAGATTTCGTCCGTTCTAAACTTCTGCGAACTTGTTCGTTTACCTTGAAATACTAATTACTTCCTTCCTTTCTTTGTTTTCTTTTCGTCGCCGACACGTGAGGAACGCGATTTCGCAATAATCGAACGCAGCTGGTTTTCGATATTTATGAAATTGAGGATTTGATGATTTAAGAGAATTTCGGATATTTGTGGACTTCGGGGATTTTAGGAAATTTAGGGATTTTGCAAATTTTGGGGATTTCGAAGAATTTAGGGAATTTGAGGGATTTTGGGAATTTAGGAAATTTGAGGAAGTTGGGGATTTGAGGAATTTTTAGAATTTTGGGGAATTTGGAGAATTCCGGGAATTTGGGGATTTTTGGAATTTGGAGAATTTGGAGAATTTGGAGAATTTGGAGAATTTGGAGAATTTTCAAAATTTTCAGAATTTGGGGGTTTTGGGGAATTTAAGAATTTTACGATATTTTCAGAATTTGGGGATTTAGGGGAATATGAGGATTTAAGGGAATATGGGAATTTTGGGGAATTTTGGAATTTTGGGAATTTTGGGAATTTTTAGGATTTTCAGAATTTGGGGGTTTTGGGGAATTTGAGAATTTTGCAATATTTTCAGAATTTGGGAAATTTGGGGATTTAGAGGAATATGGGGATTTAAGGGAATATGGGGATTTAGGGGAATGTGGAGATTCAAGAGAATGTGGGGATTTAAGGGAATGTGGAGATTTTGGGGAATATTCAGAATTTGGTGAATTTGAGGATTTTGGGGATTTTAGGGAATTTGAGGAATTTGAGGAATTTGAGGAATTTGAGGAATTTGGGGAATTTAAGAAATTTATGGATTTGAAAGTTTAGAAATTTGGACTTCAACATATTCAAAGTTTAAAAGTCAAGGATTTGGAAATTAGAAGAATTTAAGGAATTTGAGGAATTCATAAAAATTTAGGGATTTGATAATTTATAAATTTATAAATTTAGACTTGAAGACATTTAGGGCTTGAAAGTTAAAAAATGTTGAAATTTGTAGATTTTTACTAAGTTTTCAAGTCATAAGTACAAAAATAGATTGCCATATTTCACATGCCACCTAATAACATGTATACATATGTATGTAATTCATAAACTTGACTTTGTACTAACTTTTTAGAGGTTGAGACCAAAAAGAAATGTGTTCATCCACCCTCATAAAATATAGCACTTCATTCAGTGCCATATTTTACACGTTACCTAATACCATTACAATTTATAAACCTAGCCACGTACCAGCTTCATAAATGGAGAGCGAAATAAGAAACCTGTTGAGCCACCCTAATATACAAGATAGCAATAACTCACAATTGAGCTCTCTAGTAACTCATATCTCTAAGTACATAAAAAAAATTTGTTGACCCACATAAAATATACAGTACTTCATAGATTGCTATATTTTATGCGTTTATAATTTACAAACCTAGCCACGTAGCTTCATAGACAGAGAGCGAAATAAAATTACCTGTTGAGCCACCCTAACGCACAAATTAGCAATAACTCATATTGAGCTCATATCTCTAATAAAAAAAATTTGTTGACCCACAAAATACATACAGTACTTCATAGATTGCTATATTTTATGCGTTTATAATTTACAAACCTAACCACGTAGCTTCATAGTTTGATAGTGAAATAAAATTACCTGTTGAGCCACCCTAACGCACGACAGCAATAAGTCACGTATATCTCTGAATACCATGGTACAAAAGGGTTGAAGTAGCCGCCTAATTGCCACTAGAGAACGTTCGAATGTAAAGGATTCACAGTCAAAAAAATGATGGTATAATGTGGATTGTTTTGTCTGTCAAGTAGGCCTGCACTTGCGGAGCATCGAAGAGCCGAGGATGACGGCGGAGACGGCAGCTCCTTGTGTGCAGGGGATGCAAGGGGTGCAGACCGTTATGGCAGGTCAAGGCACATTGCAACAAGTGCAAGATGGAAAATCCGGTGGTTACTATTGTTCCACTTCTGCCGTCTACGATGCGGAATATGCTCGCATGGAAGCTTGGCTCGACGAACATCCCGACTTCGTCAACGACTACTTTCTTAGGTTATTATCACTCGGCTAATTATCACATTATTTACTAACCTTTTTTGGAGGTAGGTTTGTAATTGGCGCTAATTGCTGGTAGGCACACAAATTAAGTTTAAAAATGATCAAACTGGTGATTAAGGTAGTTTGAGGTACAATATTTGTTGAGGTCTTGTGTTCTGTTTTAATGGAGGTGAGGAATTATGGATATTAATTATTGTTGTTTGTTTAGTTGGTTTTCTATTTTGTTTTGAAGTAAATATAAATTGGCAGGAAAATATAATATCAAACGTACGTGTTTATAGGAAAATATCACATAATATGAAATATATATGTGAACAAGAAAATATCACATAATATGAAATATATATGTGAACAAGAAAATATCACATAATATGAAACATACATGTCAACACTAAAATATCACATAATATGAAGCATACATGTCAACACTAAAATATAACATAATATGAAACATACATATCAACACTAAAATATAACATACTATGAAACATACATGTCAACACTAAAATATAACATAATTTAAAACATACATATCAACACTAAAATATAACATAATTTAAAACATACATATCAACACTAAACACTAAAATATGACATAAAATAAAACATACATATCAACATTAAAATATCACATAATATAAAACATACATATCAACACTAAAATATAACATACTATAAAACATACATATCAACACTAAAATATCATATAATATGAAACATACATATCAACACTAAAATATAACATAATATGAAACATACATATCAACACTAAAATATAACATACTATGAAACATACATGTCAACACTAAAATATAACATAATTTAAACCATACATATCAACACTAAAATATGACATAAAATAAAACATATATATCAACACTGAAATATCACATAATATAAAACATACATATCAACACTAAAATATAACATAATTAAGAATCAAAATGGGTCAACGAGTGTTCTAAGAATGCTATGAAGTTTCTAAATATACCAATATTATGATTAAAGGGGTAAATACAATTTTCTGATCGATTTATGTGATTGAAATAAACATAATTGTCCAGTAAGAATTAAAGAGTAATTTCTTAGACAAAATTAGGACGTATTTTGAGAGGAAAACTTGTCATCAAACAAAATGTCGAACTTCTTATTATTTTACAAATGAAAGCAACGTCCAGTCACTTCATAATTTATGAAACGTCTTTACTCCACGTTTGTACTAAAAATACTCAAATACCTCCTAATTTTCCTTTCAAACTATTAGATTCCCATTATTCGTCAATTATTTGTTAATTCATGCGCATCGATTAGCTTTTATTATTTATACTCCAACTGCCAGTTTCTGTACTTGAATATTTTATTAATTACTTCGTCATTAGGCTAGTCAGTCTACTTCTGAACGAACAACCTACGAATTTCTTCACTTTTGGCAGATTTCGAACAAGAGAAGTGCAAGACATTCTAATTTAGTTTGTGATTAACGAAATACAAAATAAAGAAGTTATTTAACATTCTGTTAATAACGAAATTCGTCATAGTTTGTGAAATAAAGTAACAATTAAAAAAGCCAAAAGTTTATATAACTTGTACTAAAATTAAAGATAAATAATATAGTTAATACACTTGCATCTGACAGAAATAGTTTAGAATCGTTCGGAGACAATTCAGAAAAAATTTAGAAATTGTTTAGAAACAATTCAGAAAAAATTCAGAGTCGTTGAGAAACAATTTAGGAAAAATTCAAAACCGCTTAGAAACAATTCGAAAAAAATTCAAAACCTTTTAGAGACAATTCAGAAAAAAATTTAGCTCCCTTTCGCAACAATTCGGAAAAATTCAGAACCCTTCCGTAACAACTCAGAAAAAATTCAGAACCCTTTCAAAACAGTTCAGAACCCTTTCGAAATAATTCAGAAAAAATTCAGAATCCTTTCAAAACAGTTCAGAAACAATTCAGAACCCTTTCGAAATAATTCAGAAAAAGTTCAGAATCCTTTCAAAACGATTCAGAAACAATTTAGAACCCTTTCAAAACCCTTCAGAAACAACTTAGAACCCTTTCGAAACACTTCACAAACACTTCAGAACCCTTCCGAAACAATTCAGAAAAATTCAGAACCCTTTAAAAAAAAGTTTAGAATAGCAAAGTGTGTAAGAAGAAGACTGTAACAAGAATATCGTTGATCCATAGGAAAGTGACGAGACAGACAGTGGACATGTGGCTGGTATCACACGCGACGCCAACATCTTCGTCGAGCAGTTGCATGGAGCTGTCGAGTCCGACTCACACCGGTGGCACATCGTCCTCGGGTCGAGGTGGTTCTGGTGGATCAGGTGCGACGACACCCGTTCGAAAGATCTCGGCACATGAATTCGAACGAGGTGGTTTATTAAAACCGATCGTTAACACGATCGACGGTACACCGACCTTCCTCAGCGTTTCACCCGGTGATTCCGGCCAGCCGGGTGTACAACAAGTTGGCTCTGGAAACTCGAGCAGACCCCAAAGACGATCCAGACATGAGCTCAGGCATCTCGACGAAAAGGATCTCATCTTTGAATTGGTACTTATTTATTTTCTTCTGAAAGACAAATTTTAATGTTTCATGTTTAAGTTTTAATAGTTTTGATAGATTTTTATGGATGCATAGTTTGATGTGTGTACCAATTCATGATGTGTGTGCGAAACAATTCATGTTTTGTTTATTTATTTATTTTTCAAATTCATTTTTAATTTCAAACTAAGATTATATACCTGTAAGTTTAGTATTAAATTTGAACTAAATTAGAAGACTAATTGTAAGTTAATTGAGGATGATATGTGAACAGCCTCAAAATATTGACTTGTTAGCTCGACAAAAATTGACATAAATTTGTACAAAAATTTCTTAATAACTTTTGTCATTTAAAGTGAGAGATCTATGATCCGCCATTTTGATGAGGTCCGTGAAGTATTAAACTGAACTATGATGTATTAAAGTATTAAATAGAATACGATTATAATATGAAATAAATATGATTACAGGTTAAGGACATCTGTAACGAGCTAGACGTGAGGTCATTGTGTCACAAGATCTTGCAGAACGTGAGCACCCTGTTGCACGCCGATCGTGGCTCGCTGTTTCTCGTCCAGGGCGAAAGAGGTGGTGGTTGCATGCCTTCGTCGCAAAATCACGATTCCACGTCGAATTATTCGAGCGGCAACGCGAACCTAAATAAAACGGGAAACGGGAACTCGGAACAACGTGGCGGTACGGGATACTCGAGGAGCAGATGTCTGGTCTCGAAGTTGTTTGATGTGTGTTCAAGGTCGACGTTACTCGAGATGGAGAAGAAAGACGAGATCAAAATTCCCTGGGGCACGGGAATCGTCGGATACGTCGCTGAAAGCGGGGAACCTGTTAACATACCGGATGCTTACAAGGCAACGATTTATTGTCACTATTCAAAGATGTTAGCCGATATTTCGCCAAATATCTCTCCTTCGCTATGTTATTGCACGACGAAAGTTAGGGGACCTAATTAATTTAGATGGATTCCTCGAATGTGAGAGTAGTTTATTCGTGGAACTAGGTTTTCGATTTTGAAAGTTTAGGATTGTGGGATTAGATATTGATACTTTAGACATTTTGCAATTTTGTGGATTTATAGTTACAAGTTTTTGGAACTTTAGTAGATTTAATTTAGAGATTGTGGGATTTTGGGTTTTGGGACCTTGAGATTTTTAGTTATGGGACTTTGGCACCTGGAGATTTGAAATTGTGGAGATTTGGAATTTTTTTAATTTTGAACTTCAAAAGTTTGCAATTGTAAAAGTTTGATGCTTCAGAATTTTGTAATTTTTTATCTTTTATATTTTGCAATTTTGTACTTCAAAGTTTTGGGACTTCAGGAGTTTGGAATTGTAAAAGTTTGATGTTTCACAATTTTGCAATATTTTATCTTTTATATTTTGTAATTTTGTACTTCAGAGTCTTGGAACTTCAGAATCTTTGGATTGTAAATTATGTAACTTTGAACTTGAAAATTTGTTAAATTTAGTGCTCAGAAAGTTTAGTATTGAAAATTCTGAAGCTTCACAATTTTTCAATTTAAAAATTGTATAATTATATACTTCAACTCTATGGCTTCAGTACTTAAGAATTTTTTACAATTATAATTTTTAAACTTCCAAATTCTGGGACTTAATTTTCTATTTTTATAAATTATACTACCTGTTAAAATTGTAAAATTTAAGTTTTTGGAACTGTAAAATTTTGAGACCTTCAGTTTGAAATTTTTAAGATTTCAAACTAAAAACTTTAATACATAAAAATTTTGAATATTACAAATAGTTTTGAGTATCATAAAACGTGAATTAATTGTTCTGTAAAGTGCTGTATTTATTCGATATTATCTGATTGCAGGACTCGAGGTTCAATCGTGAAATCGATGCATTAACAGGGTATAGAACTAGAGCCCTATTGTGTATGCCAATAAAGGACTGTAGTGGAGACGTAATTGGAGTTGCACAAGTAATTAACAAACTTGGTGGCGAAGGTCAATTCACCGCACAAGACGAAAAAGTTTTCGCTGGTTATTTACAATTTTGTGGTATTGGATTACGAAATGCACAATTGTACGAAAAAAGTCAATTGGAAGTGAAACGAAATCAGGTTGGTTAAATGTCTCAATAATTTACTTCGATGTCTCTTCAATTATTTTTACATTAAATATTATTCTTCCATATTATCATTTTCCTCTTTTAACAATTACAGGTACTTTTGGATTTGGCTAGAATGATTTTCGAAGAGCAGAGTACAATAGAACACATGGTGTTGCGAATATTAACGCACACGCAGTCGTTGATACAATGCCAACGAGTACAGGTAAATGTTCTTTAAAAAGTATTATTATTGTTTAAAATCTTGCCAAGAATTATAAATTTTCAAACTGATTTATTTTCACCAGGTTCTCCTCGTGCACAAAGCGTCAAAGGGTAGTTTTTCCCGGGTGTTTGACTTCGAGGCGAACGACCTTACCGGCGAGGATTCAGATTCTCGCACTAGGTGAATGAAGTTTGTAATTACGTTCTTATTTTCTTTTGCTCAATTACCATCGATTATTCAATTTCCTCAGAAACCTTACATGTATTCGGTTTTGTTCATGCAGTCCATTCGAGAGTAGATTCCCTATAAATGTTGGCATCACTGGTTACGTTGCTACGACTGGTGAGGTAAGTATTTAGCCAGAAACGAGCATCTGATTAATCTTTCCAACTAATTCGATACACTATATACTTCTGTAAGCTCTGCCAAGTTGCTATTAATATTCTGTAAATGAAACTGAATGTCATCAATGTTTCACTGTTAATAAATACAATATTGACAATATATGTACAATGAGGACAAAGAAAGATCAGTTGCGTAAATGAATAATAACTTCTATAAGAGACGTATTATATCATTTTAATATCACTTCTATTTGAAGACATCTCAATCTGTACGACAAGAACATTTTTCTGTTCATTCAATTTTACTTCTGTGAAAATTAATTCACTTATGCTGCAACAAGTACAATAAACAAAACTAACCTTCAAATTTGAGATACAGTTCTGGTTTGATTTCCTCAACTTTCTTTTACTATATCATCTAGAGTTGCCATTAAGTTACGAGGTTTTATTATACATACAAGTTTAATTAATAATATTTTAATAATTTATTCAAATGGTTCAACTTTGCCGCCAAAAATTTGCCGACCCCGTCGGTAATACCGACTCTGTGTATCGCATTACAAAGAAAGATTATTCAAATGCTCATTTCTGAATGAATCAAATCATTTTATCGTCACGGTTCATTGTTCTTTTAGACGGTAAATATACCGAATGCCTACGAGGATCCAAGGTTCGACCCTTCGGTTGACGATGGTACCGGTTTCAGGCATCGTACCATACTTTGCATGCCCATCAAGAACTCATCGGGTCAGATCATCGGCGTCATTCAACTGATCAACAAGTTCAACGACCTCGCCTTTACAAAGAACGACGAGAATTTCGTCGAAGCGTTCGCTATTTTTTGTGGCATGGGCATTCATAATACGCACATGTAAATATACACAAAGCCGCGTGTGTTCCGTTAAGAACTGTCGATTGATAAAACAATAGTTTCTAGCATTGGTTCCTTTTCTGTGATCCACATAGGTACGAAAAAGCTGTGATAGCAATGGCCAAACAGAGCGTCACGTTAGAGGTATTGAGTTACCATGCTTCTGCATCGTTAGAGGATGCACAAAGACTTAGGGTGAGTAACTCTTCTATAATCAATAGCTGATTTCCCTGATTTCTAGAAGCTTATGACCGACTTCTTTTTATTGCAGGGCTTGAGAGTGCCTTCCTCAGCGCATTTTCAGTTGCACGATTTTAAGTTCGACGACATTCACATGGAAGACGACGATACGCTAACCGCGTGTCTTCGAATGTTTTTGGATCTCGACTTCGTCGAACGTTTTCATATAGATTACGACGTTCTTTGTCGTTGGCTTCTCAGTGTAAAAAAGAATTACCGAAATGTTACGTACCATAATTGGCGTCACGCATTTAACGTCGCTCAAATGATGTTCGCCATTTTAACTGTAAGTTTACGTAGAATATTAAGGAAATATATAAGTTTTGTATACAGATTGTAGCACGTAACTGTTATCAAGATTTTTCACTTTTAACAATCTAACAGTACAGTGATAATACTGTGCTCGCTTCATACATACACGCTCGATAAATGCCTGCTAGGAACATCCCTCTAAACAATTATTACTACTATATGTATATTTAATTTTTTATTGGAAATTGAAATTAAGTGACATGGTAACAATTCTGTGCTACACTCAGTATAATTTAATAAACAATAAATAAGTACTTGTTTCTAGGCCACACAATGGTGGAAAATTTTTGGGGAGATCGAATGTCTCGCTCTGATAATTGCTTGTTTGTGTCACGACTTAGACCATAGAGGCACGAATAACTCTTTCCAAATTAAGTAAGTTATTATTCTTACAATATTTACCTCACTTGATTATTTTTTCTTTTACCAATATTTTTAATAGCCATAAAGAACTCGTGATTTATTTTAATTTTTATCATAGAGCATCATCACCACTGGCACAACTGTATTCGACGTCGACGATGGAGCACCATCACTTCGATCAGTGTCTGATGATACTAAGTAGTCAAGGAAACCAAATCCTGTCGAATTTATCCCCCGAAGAATATTCTCGCGTGGTAAAAGTTCTTGAAGAGGCGATCCTCTCTACCGACCTAGCAGTTTACTTCCGAAAGAGGGGCGCTTTCCTTAGTTTAGCCAGGGGTGGTGGTTACAATTGGGCATATAGCGAACATCGAGAACTTCTGCGAGGAATGTTAATGACCGTCTGCGATTTAGCTGCTATAACCAAGCCTTGGGATGTCGAGAAAAGGGTAGCAGAATTAGTCAGCAGCGAGTTCTTTGAACAAGGAGATATCGAAAGGCGGACCCTCAATATTACTCCCATTGTATGTACCATCAACGTGTATTCATTATGTTATAGCAGAGTAAAATTGTTAGTTCTTGATTTTAACTAGTCAACTAGTTTGAGTACCATTTTGTGATACTATATCATCAAAATGTATCAGACTTTTTATCATTTAGAAATCAAGTATTTGATACAACTTATTTTAATTTAAAAATAATTTTTGATTACTGTTGTAGGACATTATGAATCGAGAAAAGGAAGATCAGCTACCAATCATGCAAGTTGGCTTCATCGATTCGATCTGCCTTCCTATTTACGAGGTAACTAGACTTCTATACAACCAACTGAGTTAAAAAGCAGAATATGCTTTACTTACAACTCTTTAAGTATGTGGTCTCAGTTAAAAGTCTGAGGGTGAAAGGTTACTCAAATATTTTATTGCTGAAGAACATAACACTTGATACATGTATTGATGTAACTGAAATATTTGTCTGAGTTATCTGCTCAGTTACCAGTTATATAATTATATCACTGATATGTCTAAATATCATACATTGTAAGCTTGTATTTGATCGTATTGAATTTGTTGAAACAGGCATTTGCTTTATTATCGGATAAGCTGGAACCGTTGGTCGAAGGTGTACGTCAGAATAAACAACACTGGCTCGAGATTGCAGAGTCCAGATGCAAGATGGAGAACTGCACAAACCATGATAGGACGCCAACGATGACCGATAACGAAGTAACCAGCGAGCAGGCGGACCAATAATCATTCTTACGAAATGATAGAATATAGTAATAATAGTAATTTTGCCTGTTTTCGGAACAAAAAATTTCTATGGGGGCAGGTGTTCGCCATCACAGTACATTCTTAAAGCTGTGCACCTTTGTCTCGATACTATATAGGTATTATAAACATCATGAGTTATAATTTATTCATTTTTATACTGATCGTCGAGAAATATTCTTGGTATTAATGATTCGTGATCGCAACTGCAGGAAGAAATAGTAAACGTTTTTTTTTTCTTTTTTTAGATTATTGAGGAATCAGTCTTGATTGCTTTTTCTTTTTGGAGTTTTGTTCTTGCATCGCATGAGGCCTAAGTTTGGCCTGTAACTGGTATGGTGGACATTTTGTGGGGACCATAACCTCACAGAAATATTTAGAAACTTATAGGATACTTGTCAAGGATAAATTATTATAATAAATTATTGTAGGTAATTTGCAAAAGTTTCCATTATTTTTAAGACAATTTTTTATTAGTATTTGGTAGTTGATAGAATATTTTTAATCCAAGTATTTTGTCTCTGTGGGATAAAGAAGAAATCTGTATTCTTAGAGCGAATAGTCATTAACGTTGGTAAATTAATAATAATTATTATTGTGAAATCATTTATAAATCCTATGTAATACAATAATAATAACAATTGTCCATAAATGTGACAAATGTCTTTTGTCGCTTTAGTAGTTATTTTGTGCTGACTAAATAATGACGAATATGTGTCCTATCAATTCTCATCCTCGCGCGAATTAAGAATGTAGTTATGTCAATAGATATAGATTATCCCGTGTCACATTTTATGCAAATTAATCAACATTAACATAATAAAACAGAATACCTTACAATGGAAACTTTTGCACAGCATCAAATAAGAAAAAGATAGTATTGTTTATACTTAAAAACTAGATAAGTAACATTTTATAAAATGTAACTCGGGTCTTATGGACCCCACCTTACCAGTTTCGGGTTAACGTGAACAACTTGTTCCAATACTCGAACGTCTTAAAAAAAAAAGGATTATTATCATGTATATTTTACTATTGGTGAAGTAAGAAAGACCATGGAGGCTTGAAGGTGATTATGTTTAAGACGATCGAGGAACTTCGTCCTCTCTTTAGTAATAAAATAGATCGACCCCTTAGATGCTACTCTTGTACCTGATCGTATTATACGTATACTTATTATGGCAGATCTTTGATGTTCAGAGAGGACGAAGAAGGACGAAACGAAAACTACGAAAAGGCGAGAAAAAACGAAAACCACCCGGAAGAATCAAAATGATCTTCCTTTTGTATACGATGATTATTAATTGAAGACTTGGGTCATTTTTGTAATACTAAATTTTAATTTATTAGTATGGTTGCTACCAGTGTAACATGTGACGTCCTCAATATTTTGTGTGTCAACATAATTTGCAAGCTTCCTTTAGTAGAAAGAAGTATAGGGCAGTAAGTCAGGTTTAGGGAAATTTATAAACAACTAGGCAGAACCTAACCTTTATAGAAACCTAACCTAACCTGTATAAAGTCTTCTGTAATTCCCCCACTCTTCCTATCAATCAAGGGGTGTCTAAATTATTATCTAAGCATACAAATGTTATATATAAAATATGTCATACTAAATGTTATACTAAAATATTATTTCTGCTTCCAAAAAAATTATGCAATTGAGCACTGGTAGCTACTGTATTAATTACACAATACAAGATGTTGAATAATTAAAACAAATTTGATAAAGAATGATTTCTTAACAGTTAATATTATGAAAAGTAATGTAGTGTTATTTTTGTACTATTAAAATAGAACTGGATGTTGAAAGCAAGAAGAAAATTGCAATGAAATGAATAACAAAATATTTGTTGTTAGTTTTATCCAGGTCTTCAATTAAACAGACGAATGATTCCTGAATAATTCATGGATACAGGTAAAAGGAAAGCTCGATCTTTGGAAATCGCGATTTACATGAAAATTATCTCCCACAGGAGAGCTTGCACGGCTAAGAATCGAATCGTGTTTGTAATTATAAATATAATATATTCGTAAAAAACCAAAGTGCACATTTTACACATCAAGATTAATCGTGATCCTTTATTGCTTAATGTGACAATTGATTTTAAATTGTCTGTTGCGCGTGCTGATTATTGTAATTAGTAGTTGGACGAGATAAAACCGTCTCTATCTTGCTTATCATTAATCGTTTTGTAACGTACATTTTAGATTCGAATAATCGTTTTCTTTCTTCGCACGGATACTTGGAAATCAAAGAAAAAGATACGTCCTGAAAATTTATGAAAAGAACACGCGACGAAAACATATCATTATCGATAATTTGCATAAAATCGTTCACGATTATTATAATTAACAGACGACGTGTCTTGGTTCATTCGAGTCACCGAAAAAGATGTATCAGATGAAGAGCAAAGTGAAAGATATTTGAAAAAAAAATATGGTTGTAACTGTAATTATGAATTGTAGTTTACAGTTATAGCTATAACTATAAATTTATAGTTATTTATTTTGAGCAAGTATAGTTATTTTGAGCTGTAATTGTAGTAATTTGTTACTGTAATATATAATACTAGTATAATGTTTTATATTAACATATTACTACAATTATAGTTATATCGTTGGAGGTATGATTATATAACTGCAGATGTAATTATAATTTTATAGGTATAGCTATACTAAAGTAAAGTCACTATAATTATAGTTATATTGCTATAATTATAGGTGTAGTACATATCTGTAGTAGCGGACAATATCTACAATTATAATTTTCCAGCTTTAATTAAAGCAGCGCAATGCTACTACATTAATGTGATCATAGCAGTTTATAATATTTGCTACAGGGTTGTATCTATAATTTTGTATCTATAGTTATAGTAATAAATAATATTACTATGGTATTAACTATGTTCTTTTCAGTATAATTACACTTATGTAGTGTAATATTGTATAACATTACAATATTAATATAGCGTCAAACAGCTACTACAATCATAATTTTATAAATCACAGCTGTAGTAATATAACATTACTATAATTATAGATGCACAGTTATAGCTATAACTATACTAAAATTATTTAAAACTTACAACTATAATTATAACTACAAAATTATAGTTACAGCTATACGTATTATGTATGTAATATCTTTCCTTGCACTTTCATCATTTATCACATTACTTACAAACGAATTATTTCCACAAAATATCTTTCAATTCACAAATTGTGTATACCTGCATCAATCCCAACTATAGAAACGTAGCTTAGCGAAAGCGAAGGCGATATCAACATTTGTTCACGTGTGATTTGTTACTTATAACGATAGCTCGTATGTCGTATATGTTCCTTTTCATTGTTCGAGTGTCCTCTTTTTTTAATTGTCGATAGACTCTTGTAAATTTTCATTGACTTCGTAATGGGAGAGAGGGTGTAAAGAGGTATGACAAGAAAGTAATTTGCGTGTGCGTGTTGTCGAACGAATGATCATTGAATGACTGGACGAAGAAAATGGCGTCGTGTACAGTTTCCGTGTAAATTATTGATACGTCGAAACGATGATGTTTTAGGGTGTACGCCGTTTACTATTACGATTTAACATACAATATGAGAGTCATATATTATATCAAACAATATCTAATATATTAAAGCGAAACTAAATTATGTGATACACGTATAAATTGCCTCTTTTATTTCTCCCCCTGTTTCATTATAATTACATCATTATTTTGATAATATCCTAATGATATACGACAATAATATTATTAGGATATTATCAAAATAATCATACCCTAAAATTATTAATTATTAAATTGTCAATATTTGTGTATGGATCATATTTATTGTAAATTTTATATTTGGGTAAGTAACGCTATTTCTTTATAGCAGTTTCAATAACTTTATACTGAACATAGTAGACTCTCGTTATATTGCCATATCCTATACCCTCTTATTAAACACTAATTTTTTTAATAGTAAATAATTGAAACAGAAGAACAATTTTTAATGGAAAAGTTTATAGTAAGAAAATATAATATTGAACATAGTAGACTCTCGTTATATTGCCATATCTTATATCCTTCTTATCAAGCACTAATTTTTTTAATAGTAAATAATTGAAACAGAAGAACAATTTTTAATGGAAAAGTTAGTAGTAAGAAAATATAATATTGAACATGGTAGACTCTCGTTATATTGCCGTACCCATATTCCTCTTATCAAACACCAATTTTTTTATTAGTAAAAAATTGAAACAGAAGAATAATTTCTAATGGAAAAGCTTATAGTAAAAAAATATAATATTGAACATAGTAGACTCTCGTTATATTGCCATATCTTATATCCTTTTTATCAAACACCAATTTTTTTAATAGTAAATAATTGAAACAGAAGAATAATTTCTAATAGAAAAGTTTATAGTAAAAAAATATAATAAAAAATAATTAATATATAATTTTAGGAGGAACAGTAAATGCCGCGTTGAAGGAATGTTATTTACCGGAAGACTTGATAGTAGTTTTCGTTTGGAATTTACCTTTCTAATTAAGATGTTTCATAAAGCTCGCGTAACGAGCCGTCGTTAAAACCTTGATGGATCGTTTAGGTGAAATTACATTAGCTGTACTTTAAAGTGTCGACTTAAGTGACTGATGACTTATTGCCAGAGAGCAGGTACGATCATAGAAGAGGCCGAATCAATAGTTGACAAATTGTATTTTGCAATGTGGGTCAATCGGTGACACATAACACGATGTTGCAAGTCTATCTCGATAGACCTTGATTACGAATGCCAGCTGCATCGTGAAAAACGGCCAAGTAACAATGTTCTTGCCCTAAACAAATCCTCTTCACTAGGCACTTTTAATCGGATTTAAATCAACGGAATTATTCAGCTGTTTCGTATGAGAACTTATTGCTCGATTTATTTCGTTCAATCGCACTGGATTTCTGTAAATACTGGGACTCTCGTTATATTGCCGATTCGGAAATATTTAAATTTTTAAATAGTGGAGTTTGGGGAGCTAAATATTTTTAGAAGAGAAATTAGGAATTCTATTTTTAGGTATTTTCAAATTTATAGATTTATAAATTCAGACTTTTTTTAATGTATAACCTTGGAAATTATATTTTTAAGCTCAACAATTTTTTAATGCATCAAGTGTCAAATTTTTTAATTTAGAAATTTAGGAAGTCTTTAGATATTTAATTTTAGAAATTCACAATTTCAAATTTTCAATTTTCGAAATTCACAATTTCAAAGTTTTAAATGTTTAATTTTTAAAAATTCACAATTTCGAAGTTTCACATTTTTCATTTTTTTAAATTCACAATTCCAAGGTTTGAAATTTTCAATTTTTCAAAATTCACAACTACAAAGTTTGAAATTTTCAATGTTTGAAATTCACAATTTCCAAGCTTCAAATCTATAACTTCAAAAATACATCACTTCAATTTATTTACGCAGTAAAGTGACACCAAATATTCAGGTAAATTTTATTTCGAAAATAAACTCGCCGGAAAGATCCGTTTAACCCAATTTCGAGTATCATAAATATTTTCGATCCCTTTCATCCCAGGATTAATAAATACGCTTTTTAGTTAAATTAACAATCACAGGAAAAGAAAAAAGTCGGTATAACGATCATAGATATCTTTAATAGAACATATTCACATATCAAGTTTAAAATCGAATAGTGTCATTCTTTCAAAGTTCGTTCGAATTTAAGATTTCGTATAACGGTGAGGGTAAATTCGTTTCCAGATTTGTTAATTCGATCGAGGACCTCGCTGTGTCTCAAATGTTGTATGGTCTCCCCGTTTACTTTGATGACTATGTCGCCGGCTTGTAGACCTGCTTTGTCGGCCAAACCTCCGAGAGCCACCTTGTAATACAAAGCACACACTTTACATGTATTATGTAAGTTACTGTTACACGTATTGTGGAATTTACTGTTACACGCGTTACGGGGTGTACTGTAACTGAGTTAACGATCGAGTCGATAGCGATGCATATTGACGATGCACAATTTCGATAACGAATTTACTGTACAGTTGTCAGCAAGGATTTCCTTGCAATATCCACGTGTCTGATGATTTAGGGAGAACTAATGTGCATTTTTATGGTCTTGGAATTTGAGAGGGTAGGAGTGGAGACTTTAGGAAATTTAGGGAGATGGGAATTTGGGGAGATGGGGATTTGGGGAGATGGGGATTTGGGGAGATAGGGATTTGGGGAGATGGGGTTTGGGAGTTTGGGAATTTGGGTAAATTGGGAATTTGGGGATTTGCAGATTTGAGAGTTTGGGGACTTGGGGAGTTGGGGATTTGGGGATATGAGGATTGGGGGTTTGGGGAATTGAAGAAATGGGCATTTAGAGGATTTGGGAATTTGGGGAGTTGGGAATTTAGAGAATTTAGGTATTTGGGGAGTTGGGAATTTAGAGGATTTGGGAATTTGGGGAGTTGGAAATTTAGGGGATTGGGGGATTTGAGAAGTTGGAAATTTAGGTGATTTGGGGATTTTGGTATTCGAGGATTTGGGGATTTATGGAGTTGGTAATTTGGAAATTTTGGAATCTGAGAATTTATGGATCTAGGAATTTAGAAATCTAGAGATTTAAGGATTTAGGGATTTAAGGATTTAGAGATTTAGGGATTTGGGGATTTAGAGATTTATGAATGAGAAATTTGAGGATTTGGAGATTTGGGATTTTGGAATCTAGGGATCTTAGGAAATTTGTGAATTTATGAATTTGGAAGTTGCCAATTTTTGCATTTGTGGATCTAGGAATTTAGGAATTTATAAATTTATAAATTTGAAAATTGTGACATTTGTAAATTTATAAATTTGAAAAACAAGATATAGAAATATTTAAGAATTTGTAAATTTGAAAATCAAGATATATTTAAACCTTGATAAAATCATAGGAATATTTAAAAATTTGCAAATTTGAAAATGAAGGTATATTTAAATCATAGGAAAATCATGAGAATATTTAAAAATTTGTAAATTTGAAAATTTGACAATAAAAAGACAAGAAGGTTATCTTATATTTTTCCATTTTCTAATTTTCAAATTTCTAGGATTTCTTCAGTTATCAAATTAATGAAAATTTATATTTAGCAATTAAGGAACCTTAAAATCAACAAGTTTTCTAAATGGTCAAAATTCCAAAATTTCTCAATCAAGCAACACAAAAATCTCCTATTAAATCTTTTACTATTAAACATTTCCATCTACTACCTACTAACTAAATTAAATACTAACAATGATTGCATCTCTCCTTTCCAATCACGAAGCGTTAATTCACAACAGTTAATTCAAACAGCCGCCCCTACTCCGATCCCCCAAAAAAACTCCCTTCATATCCCCTTCGATTTGTCCGTAAACGAATAAGTATTTAAATCGGGTGTCGACTATCGAGTACATTAAAAAAGGAGCACGTAAGCCAATATCCCTGTCGAGAGCAAATGTTACGAGTTTTATTTGAAAGCTATAAGCCTGTGTAAAGTTTTAAAAAATTCACCAGCACACGGCATCGTCTCATCTACGATTCGATTAATGACTTCCTCTTTTTTTTTCAGACCGATATTGAGTCGGACCAGCCGCAGGATTCAGGCCGAACGAAAACGAGGTCACGCGATTTGATACGAATGCAATAGCGATAAAAGCTCCTAAAGCTGAAATCCCGAATATTTCGTCGAATCATTTTTTTTTCTTCTTTGAATGCATCAAATTATCGACGCGTCGATTTTCCATGAATTATTTGCGCTCGAAGAACGTCGAATGAGTGGAGTATTTTGAAAATACGGTGAATGTTTAATTTGGGGTGGCTTTTGGGGTTTTGCTCTTTTGTGGGGCTTGTGGGATCGATAGGTGTGTGGTTAATTTTTGGTATGGGTGTTTGGTGTACGTTTGAGGAGATAGATGGTTTATGAGGTTCTGGAAGATTGGGAAGAGGGAATTTTTGGGGGTAATTTTTTGGGGTGGAAATTTGTAGATTTTTGAAGGTGGGAGTTTAGTAAGGAAGAAGGTGGGAAATTTAGTAAGATGGAAAGAGTGAAGTTTAGAGTTCTGGGAATTTTGAAAGTAGGATTATGGAAGTGGAGATTTGGAAATTGTTAAATTTGGAAATTTAGAAATTTTAGTATGGAGAATTTGGAAAATTGGAAATTCTGTAATAATGAATTTAGAAATTTAAAAATCTGGAATTTAGAAATTTAGATACTCTGAGAATTAGATTTTAGGGAGTTTTGAAAGTAGGATTATGGAACTGGAAATTTAGAAATTTTTTAATTTGAAAATTTTGAAATTTCAGTACAGGGAATTTGAAAATTTGGAACTTCTAAAATAATGAATTTAGAAATCTAAAAATCTGGAATTTAAGAATTTAGGTATCCTTGAATTTAGATTTCTAGAAATTCTGAAAATTAAAAAATTGGAATTATTGAATTTGAAATTTGGAAATTACTATATTTTAAAATATGGAATTAGGAAATCCAAAAATTCTAATATAGGGAATTTGGAAATTTAGATTTCCAGAAATTTTCAAATTTAAAAATTGTTAAATTGGAAAATTTAGAAAATTCAATATAGAAAAATTAAAAATTTAGAAATTCCAAAATAACAAATTTAGAAATTTAGAAATCTTAATATAGTAACTTTGGAAATTTTAAAATTACAATATTCTGAAACTCAGATTTCTACAAATTCCAAAAATTACAAAACTACAAAGCTACAAAATTACAAAATTACAAAATTACAAAATTACAAAATTACAAAATTACAAAATTACAAAATTACAATCTTACAAAATTACAAAATTGAAAATTGAATTTGGAAGTTGAATTGTCATCTAACGTTTCCAAATGTGTAAAAATGAGAATTTTTAGCGCACAAATATGTAGAAGTATACGTTACCCTAACAACAGTCATCGGATAACTGAAATCGGCCCCTCCAGATAATCGAAATCCCAAAGTTTGTCCGCCATTTCGTGAGAGTTTGATGTTAACGTCCATGACGATGATTAACGAGACTGAGCGATGCTGTAATCAGAGATCGAAGTTTCGGTAAACAATTATTCTGGGAAACGACTGTCATTTTGTTATAAGTATTGCTTAAATTGTTCTCGAATCAAAAACAATTCTGTTAGCTTTTGTATGAGGGAGGCTCGTTCAATAAATAGACAAAGACGGAGAGCTTTCATATTATTTATTCAATGGGCGAAACACTTCACGAAACTTGTGGCGATGTGAAACGTGTGGCGATGTAGGACATACGTGGCAATACAACACGTGGTAATATATCGAGTGGAAATTGGATGAGTGATGGTATGACGCCTGGCAATATAGAACGAGCGGTGATATAACGATTAGTGGTAGTAAACGTGTAGCGATATAACATGTAGTAATACAGAATGGGCGGCAATATAACACATAGTAATATAGTATGCACAACAATATAACGCGTAGCGATATAACATGTAGTAATACAGGATGCATGGCAATATAACATATAATAATATAGTACGCGTGGCAATGTAACGCTTGGCGATACAAGATATAGTAGTACAGAATGCGTGGTAATATAACGCGTAGTAATATAGTACGCGTGGCAATATAACGTGTGGTAACATAGCTCGTAGCAATATAATGCGTGGTGATATGACGCGAAGTAAAACAGAACGCGTGGCAATATAACGCGTGGCGATATAGGATGCGTTGCGATATAACGCGTAGTAATATAGTACGCGTGGTGATATGACGCATAGTAATATAGTACGCGCGACAATATAACACGTGGCAATATAACGCGTGGTAATTATAACGCGTAGTAATTATAACGCGTGGCAATATAACGCGTGGTAATTATAGCGCGTAGTAATTATAACGCGTGGCAATATAACGCGTGGTAATTATAGCGCGTAGTAATTATAACGCGTGGCAATATAACGCGTGGTAATTATAGCGCGTAGTAATTATAACGCGTGGCAATATAACGCGTGGTAATTATAGCGCGTAGTAATTATAACGCGTGGCAATATAACGCGTGGTAATTATAGCGCGTAGTAATTATAACGCGTGGCAATATAACGCGTGGTAATTATAGCGCGTAGTAATTATAACGCGTGGCAATATAACGCGTGGTAATTATAACGCGTTGTAATTATAACGCGTGGCAATGTAACGCGTGGTAATATAACGCGTGGTAATTATAACGCGTTGTAATTATAACACGTGGCAATATAACGCGTGGTAATTATAACGTGTAGTAATTATAACGCGTGGCAATATAACGCGTGGTAATTATAACGCGTGGCAATGTAACGCGTGGCAATATAACGCGTGGCAATGTAACGCGTGGCAATATAACGCGTGGTAATTATAACGCGCAGTAATTATAACGCGTGGTAACATAGCTCTCAGCGATACAACGCGTGGTAATATAACGCGTAGTAATTATAACGCGTGTTAACATAGCTCTCAGCGATACAACGCGTGGCAATATAACGCGATGTAATATAGAGCGCGTGGCAATATAACGCGTATTAGTATTATACGAATGGCGATATAACCCATAAAGTTACTGAGTGCATGGAAATGTAAATCGAAAGACTCACGCAACGAAGGGTTAATGTGTCATATCAAGAGTACATATCTTGTGCATATCTTTCTCTTCCATTTCACTTTTGAATATTTTCAATTTTGATTTCCTCCCGAACGAAATCTACCGCCAGAATATAAGGAATTCTTCTTCACTCACCTAAAATTGATTGGCACTTTGAAGAATCTCACGGATTTAGCAGTGACAGGAGGAGTTCTCGAGAAGCTCGATCAAACAGTCAGCGAGGATATGTATCTGTCGATCGCGTACACGATATTTCATGACCAAGCATACGTAAATAAACGATGGCCAATGTCCGAAAATTGATCATTACTTAACACGCTATCACGGTTGTCGCTATTCTAGAGCGTGCACAATGCCGTAGCTGGTTACGAATTTCGAACTATAGACACTTTATACCCTACATGCTATTTCCGATGCAACAAGCTTCCCGAGGCTACGTGTTCATATTTATTGTTTGTTTTGTTTATTTAGAGATAAGAAAGAAGATTTTTGTTAAATACTTTAGTCGCAATTTATTGATATGTTAATAAGGTTCTTATCAATATAGTGTAATATTAATGTACCAGGTTTTTAAGCTCTTGTAGTAGTTTTTATGTATTACAGTATTTTCTTAATATATCGTAGAATAAGTTTTTAATTGTACATATTATATGTTCTATTACTGATTTAATTTTTTTATTAAATAATATTCATATAACACATTTCAAGATCATGTATTCTCATATAATACATTATAATACATTTTAATACATAATCAAAAAATTATTATACGTGAACAACAAATTTTAACCAGCATGTTTGTTTGCAATGTGATTAAAAATAATAAACGAATACATTTATATAGTCACTCAAATATTGTTGTGTGAATTCGCTATTTTTTAAATTGAAATGACAGATTTGTCGGTAATCGAATCAGCGCCATCTAGCGGATGGCGTTTCAAGCTTGCTCCTGGTAGCAGGATCGCAGGAAAGCGAAGAGGTATTCGCTAAAGTAAGAGGTCTCCCGCGTACTCACGCACATGCGCAGTAGAAGGTCCGCCCACGCGCCTGGCAGCCATAATGCAGAAAGCGGCGCATGCGCAGCACGATTGAATGGCGTCCCCACCTACAAACCAACTAACTATGAATAATACTGCACCACTAATTATCTGCGAATGATTTCTACACTTTTATAATCAAAGAATGAAACTCGATCCTATAGCAATCTTCCTGTACAAAGTTTATTAAGATTTCATTTTAGAAAAAGTTGTTACACATATTTAAATCGTATGGTGTTGACAGTACATCGTAACAGTGTCGCTTATAGAAAATTATTAATAACTACTTTCAACTCAGATCTTAATAAATGTTGTACAAGAAAGTAGATGAAGAGTCACTGGTGATTTTTCAATCATAAAAGTGCATAAGTTCCTCTTAGAAAACGAGTAATTAATAATTCTTCGACAATGATAGTATTTGCTCCGTGAGACGCCATGTTGGAGTCGCGGCGCCAGTCTGGCTGTAGCGCGCATGCGCGCTGATGCGCGGGAAACCTCTTACTTTAGCGAATACCTCCTCGCTTTCCTGCGATCCTACTACCAGGAGCAGGCTTAAAACGCCAAACGCTAGATGGCGTTGATCCCAATTTTTATTTTACCGACAGATTTAACCTAGTGGCTATGTGATTATATGATCAATATGTCCTTTATCTTCTGTACTTGAAAAATGAAATTATATAGGTTTATGAATAATTTATATTTTAACGAAATTTAGGTTATAGTAATAATGGACACATAGCTGAAAGATCTGTGCTCTGTATAATTAAAATTGAAAACTTTAAGGTGTTTTCAAAGATTTATATTTAGAAATATGCAAATGTAGAAAAATGTATCATTTGAAGATACATTTACAAAACTTGGAAATGAGGGAATTTTGAAAGGTACTATTACAAGGAAATAATCAATAGAATGCACTTACTCATTGCTACAATTTTAATTTTTATTATGTACATTATTCTTATCATTATACATATATGTAAAATTTTACCAAATTTTATAAATTTGATATTAATAAAAGTGAAAGAAATTAAGAAGTCTGCCCATTTAACTGGTAACTAGAAAAATTTCAAAATTAAAAATTGTTTATAATTTAATTTCGTTTAAAATAAACCTTGAATACGGGAAGAAGTCAAGTAGTTTCAATTCATAGATACATCAAATATACCGTACATGTGTAGAGATTTATTTTTATACACTTTTTATTAGTTGTACAGAACGAAGTTAAATACAAAGATTAATAGCTAACAGGTTGTCGTTTCCACCCTTTCTTTCGTTTTCACCCTTAACAAGGGGAGAAACTGATCGATAAGTGTCCTTCGCAAGAAGTAACGTATCTTTTATTCGATGAATTTCAGACCTGTAACAAAATAAAAAGGAAACGATTTAAAAAGATTGATGCTACACTGCTACAAAAACAATTTATGAAGGAATAAATATTTTACCAATAACCTCGGCTGATATTATCAGCATTTTTCTTCTGAATATTGAGATTTCTGTGGGTTTCAATTTTGATAAGTTAAAGATATTAAAAATGGAAAAATTTGAAATTGCTAAACGGGGAAAAATTAGATGATTTAGCTGAAAGTCAGACAGTTTTGAAATTTCAAAATTCAGGAATGCAAAGAATTGGAATATTGTGTAAGTCAAAAATAAGAAAATTTTGAACTTTCAAAATTCAGGAATCTAAGGAAGCTTCAATATTGGAAAATTGGGTAACTCAGTTGAAAATGTAAAAATTTTTAAATTTGAAAATTATGAATTTGAAATATTAGGAAATTGGGTGAGTTATTGAAAAATGAGAATATTTTGAAATGTGAAGACAAGGAATTTGAAATATTGAATAATTAGAAAATTGAAAGATTGAAAAATTGAAAAATTGAAAAATTGAAAAATTGAGAATTTAGGGATTTGGAAAAATGATAAACGGAAAATTTGGAAATTTGAAAATTTGAGAAATGCAAAATTTAGGAATGTAGAAGTTTGATAAACAGACAACTTGAAAATTTGAAAATTTATGAAGTGAAAAATTTAGAAATTTAGAATTTTGCCAAATAGAAAATTTGAAAACTTAAAAGCTTAAAAAGTGAAAAATTGAAGAATTTGAAACGTGACAAATAGAAAACTTGAAAATTTAAATATCTAAGCAACGCAGAATCAAAAAATGAATCCTCTATTGCAATCAAATGTAAAATTAAATTGTTTCTTTTGTTTCAAGGTTTTCATAAATGTCGTCGTCTCCTCTCCACGTCTCCCACGAACTGCCACAGAAAAGCGAAGTATCGATGGCCGAATTTCGATTAACGACAACAATTAGTGAATCTGAAATTTCAAAATCCAGCAAACATAAAATCTTACAATTTTAAATATTAGTAAAACAAAAAAAGACTAAAATATTTTATAAAATTTGAATCATGACAAAAATTTGTCAGAACGTCTTCTCTTTTGTTTCACAAAAGAGCAGGATATTTTTCAAAATGTTATCAAGCATTCAGCTTTCTGTGGTAATGTCTTCCATCAAATAAATAAGCTGTGATATATGTATCACACTTATTGTCAACTTCTCCACGTTAACCTTAAGAGCCCCGAGAGTCTGAGCTTTAAAGCTTCAGCCCAAAACCTTCGTAAACTTGAGTGTCATACGATGTTAGCCTTAAAAGCTTAACCTTTAAAGCCGAGCTTTAAAGCGTGGGGGATTCAAGCTCTGCACTACTGGGTTCTGTTTCGACTTCTTGTAATGTTGGAAAATTACAAGATTAAATATCTTTTGTTTCTGATATTTGAAACTCTGCAAATTGTAAATATTGAAAATTAAGAAAACAAAAGCAATTTTAGATAGTCTTTTTAACAAGTCTGTAATATTTGAAATGCTGCAAATTGTAAATATTGAAAATTGAAAAACAAGAACGAGTATGAATGTGAAAATTATAAAATGCAGCAAAAATTGTAAATTTCGAGAAATGGAAAAATTACATAAATTAAAAAATTAGTAATTTAAAATTGTATTAATTTGGACACTTAATTTAATAAACATGTAAATTTGTATACTTAAAGAATTAAAATAAGAGAATGTTTGAAGATAGCAAGATTTAAAAATGAAGAAGTAAGGACGAGTAAAAGTTTGAAAATCAATAGACAAGGATATTGAAGAAGCAAGAAACTTGTAAATTTGAGTATTGGAGAAATCTGAGAAGTTTGAAAAATGATAATGTAATAATATAAAAATCTGTGAACCTTAAAAATAAATTTCAGAAGTGTAAAAATTTGAAAATTGATATACAGGAATATTTGAAAATTTGTAAATTTTTCAATTTGCAAGTTTCTAAGTTTCCAAATTTCTAAATTTACAAATTTCTAAATTTCCGAGCTTCTAAATTTCCAAACTTCTAAATTTCCGAGCTTCTAAATTTCCAAGCTTCTAAATTTCCAAACTTCTAAATTTCCAAACTTCTAAATTTCCAAGCTTCTAAATTTACAAATTTCAAAATTTCCAAACTTCTAAATTTCCGAGCTTCTAAATTTCCAAGCTTCTAAATTTCCAAACTTCTAAATTTCCAAACTTCTAAATTTCCAAGCTTCTAAATTTCCAAGTTTCTAGGTTTCCAAATTTCGAAAATTCCAAGTTTCTAAATTTCCAAATTTCTAAATTTCCAAACTTCTAAATTTCCAAATTTCTAAATTTCCAAACTTCTAAATTTCCAAACTTCTAAATTTCCAAACTTCTAAATTTCCAAACTTCTAAATTTCCAAACTTCTAAATTTTCAAGTTTCTAGATTTCCAAATTTCGAAAATTCCAAACTTCTAAATTTCCAAATTTCTAAATTTCCAAACTTCTAACTTTCCGAGCTTCAAAATTTCCGAGCTTCTAAATTTCCAAATTTCCAAATTTCCAAGCTTCTAAATTTCCAAGTTTCTAAATTTCCAAATTTCTAAATTTCCAAGCTTCTAAATTTCCAAATTTCGAAAATTCCAAACTTCTAAATTTTCAATTTTCTAAATTTCAAAATTTCAAAATTTCCAAACTTCTAAATTTCCAAGCTTCTAAATTTCCAAGTTTCTAAATTTCCAAACTTCTAAATTTCCAAACTTCTAAATTTCCAAACTTCTAAATTTCCAAACTTCTAAATTTCCAAACTTCTAAATTTCCAAACTTCTAAATTTCCAAACTTCTAAATTTCCAAACTTCTAAATTTCCAAACTTCTAAATTTCCAAACTTCTAAATTTCCAAACTTCTAAATTTCCAAACTTCTAAATTTCCAAACTTCTAAATTTCCAAACTTCTAAATTTCCAAACTTCTAAATTTCCAAACTTCTAAATTTCCAAACTTCTAAATTTCCAAACTTCTAAATTTCCAAACTTCTAAATTTCCAAACTTCTAAATTTCCAAACTTCTAAATTTCCAAACTTCTAAATTTCCAAACTTCTAAATTTCCAAACTTCTAAATTTCCAAACTTCTAAATTTCCAAACTTCTAAATTTCCAAACTTCTAAATTTCCAAACTTCTAAATTTCCAAACTTCTAAATTTCCAAACTTCTAAATTTCCAAACTTCTAAATTTCCAAACTTCTAAATTTCCAAACTTCTAAATTTCCAAACTTCTAAATTTCCAAACTTCTAAATTTCCAAACTTCTAAATTTCCAAGCTTCTAAATTTCCAAGTTTCTAGATTTCCAAATTTCCAAATTTCTAAATTTCCAAATTTCCAAAATTCCAAAATTCCAAAATTCCAAAATTCTCAATTTATCAATTTCTCAATTTCTCCATTTCTCCATTTCTCCATTCCTCCATTTCTCAATTTCTCAATTTCCAAATTTCCAAATTTCTAAATCTCTAAATCTCTAAATTTGAAAACAAAGAAATAAGGTCATCTAATAAGCAAAAAGTTCTTGAATTAACAAACCAACAAAATCTGAAAAATTAAAAAATTGCTTATCTAAAAATGCAAAAACCCCGATCCTCAAAAATACCTAAAAATACCCAAAACCTAAAAATTTAAAAATCAACATACAACAATATACCAAAATAAACCTTCAAATTGCTATTCAAAAAAATTAAAAAACACATAAACCCAAACCCCAAGCTCCACTAATACTAAAACCTCAAAAACCCGATCACCAAGAACAAACAAAACCATAAAAACGAATAAACCGTCGCCCTCGAAAACCTCAAAAATCAGAAATTCCAAACCAAAAAAAAGAAATAAATGACTTTGAAAATTCAATGATGCAAAAGCCGTAAAGTTGTTAAACGTGCATATCATCAGATTGCAGCTAAGCGAGTAGTATAACGTTCGGAAAGGCGAGGCAACCATACCTGGCTATGCTCGCTATGTGAATTTCCTCGAGTGGAGGCAAAGTTTGATTTTGCTGAGGGCGCACGCCCCGCTCCCAGCTGCACAACCGACTGGCCTTTAAGCAGTCACGAACGGGTCTTCGTTCGTCACACTCTAACGAGATGTGTTTATAGTTCGTCGTTCAATCTATTTCCTCTCCAGTTTCCTCCTTTCTCCGGTGAAACATCGTTCCATCCCGGATTACGGAATCGCCAAAGTGTGTGCTTCGTTCTTTCTTTTTTTTCTTCGTACCTAATTCGGTGCCAGTGATTGCTTCCCTTTGTTCCTTCTCTCGTCGGCGAACGCGATGTTGCTGAAATCGAAACTCTCTCTCATGTGAGTCCTTAATTAAACCTTCAGATCGTTTAGTTTCTCGATGTTTTCGGAATAAGGGTTTAAGTGAAATCGGGAGGGTGATTAGGCTATGAGTTTGACACCTGAGTTTGTAGAGCAGTGAACGTTTGCAAATTTTTCGGATGCTTTTGTTGGAGGGTATTGACAGTTGGATTATTCTTTTGGTGGAAGAGTGAGAGGTTTCTTGGAGAATTCGAGTGGGTTTTTGTTGGAAAATTGGTAATTAGGATGGCTCCTGTATTTTTGTGGGTTTGCTTTGGGAGAACTGTGACACGACGGTGGGAAATGCATTTCTATTCACGTTTTAAATATTTTTCTGTAATAAGATTGTTAATTATTTACTATTCTTGCGTTTCTATGATCGCTTGCTTTACTAGAACTGTGACACGACGGTGGAAAATGCATTTCTATTCAAGTTACAAATGTTTTTCTTTAATAAAATTGCTAATTATTTACAGTCCTTGCGTTTCGTGATCGTTTGCTTTGGTAGAATTGACACAGTCGTGGAAAATGCATTTCTCCTCAAGTATCAAATATTTTTCTGTAATAAAATGGCTAATTATTTACTATTCTTGCGTTTCTATGATCGTTTGCTTTACTAGAACTGTGACAGGACGGTGGAAAATGCATTTCTCCTCAAGTTACAAATGTTTTTCTTTAATAAAATTGCTAACTATTTACAGTCCTTGCGTTTCGTGATCGTTTGCTTTGGTAGAATTGACACAGTCGTGGAAAATGCATTTCTCCTCAAGTTTCAAATATTTTTCTATGATAAAATGGCTAATTATTTACTATACTTGCGTTTCTATGATCGTTTGCTTTACCAGAACTGTGACACGACGGTGGAAAATGCATTTCTGCTCAAGTTTCAAATGTTTTTCTGTGATAAAATGGCTAATTATTTACTATTCTTGCGTTTTTATGATCGTTTGCCTTGCTAGAATTGTGACAGAATCGTGAAAAATGCATTTCTTGCTAAATTTCAGATATCTAATTTTCTGTATGAAAATTGCTAATTATTAACAGTTGATTTCTGTGATCCTTCGTTTGCTGAAACAGTGACTCGACTAAGGAAAATTTCTCCTCAAAATTCAAATTATTTTCTGTATAAAAATTGCTAATTATTAACAGTTGACTTTCGTGATCCTTCGTTTGCTGAAACAGTGACTCGACCAAGTAAAATTTCTCCTCAAAATTCAAATTATTTTCTGCGTAAAAATTGCTAATTATTAACAATTGACTTTCGTGATCCTTCGTTTGGTAAAACTGAGCTAATTGAGGAAAATTTTTCAAGTATTTCGAGTATTTTCCTGTTAGAACATTGTTTTCTATCAACAGCTTTAAATAATTATATTCTATCAACAGTTTTTACATTTGTATGATCCTTCCTTTGCTAGGAGAGTGTCGTGATCAAAGAAAATATATTTCACCATAAATTTCAACTACTTTTCTTATTAAAAAATTCTTAATAATTTTATAATAATAGTTTTTCATTTTTGTGACTATTCTTTTGATCGAACAGTAATAAAATTGAGGAAAATGCATTTTTTCATGAATTTTGACAATTTTTCTGTTAAATAATCGCTAATTATCGACAGCTCTTGTATTTTTATGTTTTTTCATTTACTCTAACTGACACAATCGTAAAAAATGCACTTCTTCTCAAATTTCAAATATTTTTCTGTAAAAAAATTGTTAATTATTAAGCACTCATGCATTTTTATAAATGTTCATTCATTCATTTCTTCCCAAATTTCAAACAGTTTTCTATAAAAAATTTGTTAATTATTACCAGTTGTTGAATTTTTATGTCCATTCCTTTGTTGGAACAGTGACACAATAAAGAGAAATGAATTTTTCCTTAAATTTTGAATATTTTTGTATAATTATTAGTAGCAATAATTGTTAATTACAGTAGCTTATAATGTTCATATTTTTTGTGTTTGTATGATGACTAATAGACTCTTTATCGGTGAACGAGTGTTGGAGGGATTTGTAGATTTAGGTTTGTTTTTGTAGCGAGACTTGCCATGACAATTTTGTATGGGCTTCTCGTTGTGCACACCATAAAATTACTAATTTTCGAGCGATGCTTTAGTTCAAAGATATCATTAAATCACTAAGTAATTCAATTATTATTAAGTTATTAAGTTATTAATAGATTTATGTTATTAATTTATTATTAAGTTTGAAAAAATTTAGGTATGTTTCTTTATTATTAAGTTTGAAAAGATTTAGGTATATTTCTTTATTATTAAGTTTAGGTTATTAAGTTTGTAAAAAATTTAGGTATATTTCTTTATTATTAAGTTTGAAAAGATTTAGGTATATTTCTTTATTATTAAGTTTAGATTATTAAGTTTGAAAAAATTTAGGTACGTTTCTTTATTATTAAGTTTGTAAAAAATTTAGGTAAATTTCTTTATTATTAAATTTAGATTATTAAGTTTGTACAAAATTTAGGTAAATTTCTTTGTTATCAAGTTTAGGATATTAAGTTTGAAAAAAATTTAGCTAAATTTCTCTATTACTAAAACCAAGATTCAAAACAGCCTTATTGTTCTTCCTCCTTCAACAATGTGCAAGTAAAAACAAAAAACTTAGTACACGAGCACTGGTTGTTCCCTCTTTCCGTGTCAATAAATTTAAAAAAATATTTCTGCAAGAGAATTTAAAGCTTTTCATACTTTAGGAAGCGTACTCTTGCCTCGAATTTGTGCTTTAAAACAAGAAACATTAAAACGTTCACTGTTTTAAATCAACAGTTACTGGTTGAAAGAATGTAGCTTTGACTTCTGAAAATTAAATGTTAGGAATATTTGAATAAACTATAGAAATACTATTTTTTGTCTGACCTAATGTTATTATTACAAATATTTTAATTCATTTAGTTATTAAAAGTAGAACGTCAGAATACAAATTTATTATTACTGTGCATTGTTAAATTTTTTTTAAAGTATATTGTTAAAGTTGTTCTTAAAGTTGTTCTTAAAATATATTGTTGAAGTTGTTCTTAAAATATGTTGTAAAATTTATTTGTAAAATAAATTGTTGAACTTGTAGGTAAAATATATTATCAATTTAATTTTAAAATATATTGTTAAACTTGTAGGTAAAATAAATTATTCATCTAATTCTTAAAATATACTATTAAACTTGTTCTTAAAATATATTGTAAAATTTATTTGTAAAATAAACTGTCAAACTTGTACATAAAATATATTATTCAATTTGTTCTTAAAATATATTGTTAAACTTGTTCTTAAAGTATATTGTTAAACTTGGTCCCAAAATATATTGTTAAACTCATTCTTAAAATACATCACTAAATTTATTCTTGAAATAAATTATTAAATTTATTCCTAAAATATAGTTTTGTTAAACTCATTTTTAAAATACATCACTAAATTTATTCTTGAAATAAATTATTAAATTTATTCCTAAAATATACTACTCTTAAACTTGTTCTTAAAGTATATTGTCAGATTTGTTCCTAAAATATTTTGTTAAACTCATTCTTAAAATACATCACTAAATTTATTCTTGAAATAAATTATTAAATTTATTCCTAAAATATAGTATTGTTAAACTTGTTCTTAAAGTATATTGTTAAACTTGTTCCTAAAATATATATTGTTAAACTCATTCTTAAAATACATCATTAAACTCATTCTTAAAGTACATCATTAAATTTATTTTTAAAATATAGTATTGTTAAACTCATTCTTAAAGTACATCATTAAATTTATTCTTAAAATATGATATTGTTAAACTTGTTCTTTATTTCAAAACACACTGTTTACATCTACATTAACCAAACTCAATCAACTATATTGTTTCCCATTATTTAAAAACATCATACATTCGGTAATTCATACATATTCCGACCACATAAATCGCTACATGGGGTATTTATTATCCCTATAGTAATAGAGTCGCAAGAATAGGGAGGAAGGAAGAAAATAGGGTAAATTGCTGTTTCGTTCGACCCCCGCTAAGATTCCATCGCTAATTTCCACTCGACGATCTTGTTTAACAAGGAATATCAATCAATTAATTTTCAAAAGAGAAATAAAATAATATTCGACACGTGTTTCCTTTGCCCACACGCGCGTTAAAATAGAAGGTTACAGAGCTTAAAGACAATCTAAATTTATGAACGCTGATTGCAGCAAATTAAATCGCGTCAAGTCGAATTAAACTATATTATCTTCCATCGAACATCTCGAAAATTAGCACGATGAATGCTGTCGGGCCACAAATATACTTCGTCTGATTAATTAGAATAGAAGAATCGAGAAATACTGTGTTTTCAGTATTCAGTAACATTATTAGAATGTTAAGAACGTGAGGTGACAAATAGAAATCCAGAAATTAAAAACTGGAAATAGATGTTTGACTGCAACAAGTGTAAATGTTGAGTTCGATGAAAACGAATTCTAAAAAATCCAGGAATTTTAGAATGTAGAAATCTAAAGTTAAATCAATAAATCTAAAGTTAAATTAATAAATTAAATTATAAATTATTAATTGATAAATTACATTAATAATAATAATTCTAAATAGGTTAAATTAATAAATTAAAATTAATTGATAAATTAAATTATAAATTAATAATTGATAAATAACATTAATAATAATAATTCTAAATAGGTTAAATTGATAAATTAAAATTAATTGATAAATTAAATTAATAGTAATAATTCTAAAAATCATTTAAGGTCTATAAATTATAGATTTAAGGTTACTAGAATCTGGGAGAATAAAAGTCTGAAAAAATAGTAATTTAAAACTGCAGAAAATGTGTTAAAAGTTGGTGATTTTATTATAATCGGATAAAAGGTATCTAGTTATAAAGTTACTACGGAATTAGAGTCTATCTGTCTTCGTCGATCTTTGCATAATTCACCAAATATTTAACATGGAGCGACGGGAATCCATGAAAAAAGTATGAGTTCGTGCATTCTGAAAGGATGAAAATT